GAGTGTTGGGTGGCGGGCCTTTCTGTGACGCACGCTGTCGTGGTGAATTTCCTTCCAGCCCCGTTCGGGCATGTTGGCGTCGACGATTCCATCTAGGCTCCGTGCTGGCTCGCCGCGGCCCGCCCTCCTCCTCTCCCCTGTGTCACCTCGTGCTCGTCCGGGGGGCCCTTCTTTTTTTTACAGCGGCCAAGTTTTTCCTTGCCCTGGGGCCCCTCGGTTTTCAAAACTGGTTATCAGGGCCCGGTGGGTGCTTCGGGGGCCCGCCCGACGCATCCAGCGTCTTAGAGCTCGGCCTCGGCGAAACCCGAGGTGGAGCACCCCAGCCCGCGAGATATTGCCTTGCATACAAACGATTCCCAGTCGGATTTCGTGCTGCACGGTGCGCAGAGACCCTGACCTCGATCGGTTTGAAGTTCGGTCGCTCGCTCAGAGGTTCTTATTTTTCGGTTTTGAGTTCGTCGCTCGATGTCCCAGTCAGGCCCAACCAGAGACCACGCGCAATGCCGAGTCTTGTTCTTCTTCTTCCTCCTCCTCCTCCTCCTCCTCCTACCTTCTCCTCCCCCTCATCCTTCTTCTACCTTCTTCTCCTTCTCCTCCTCCTCCTTCTCCTCCCTCCTCCTCTCCTCCTCCTCCTCCTCCTCTTCCTCCTCCTCCTCCTCCTCCCTTTCCTCCTCCTACCTCCTCCTCCTATTGCTAAGAGATTTGGGCCCTGAGGAGGCCGATCTTCCCTCGGATTGAGTCTTGGGAGAGAGCCTCCTTGCGAAAGGCTGGGAAGATCCGGCTTCGGAGGCATGCGACAGCGCCTCGGATGGGCCATAGACCCCCAGACCGGTTTCCGGCCGCTGCACCTTTCCTTACCTCCTTCTCCTCCTCCTTCTCCTCCTACCGCATCCTCCTCCCCTTCTCCGTGTGGGCGGGAGGATGAAGAAGACGAGGAGGACGTGTGCGCGGGAGGAGGAGGAAGGCGAGGAGGAGGAGGAGGAGGAGGAGGAGGAGGAGGGGGAGGAGGAGTATTGTGGAGCATTGCGGCAAGACAGGCCAGGGCGGGCTCGAGAGAGCCGGGGCAGGCCATGCAACAGGGTGTCGGAACTTCTTCTGACACTGTGTCTGGCGCGACCTCTGGCGGTCTGACACCCATGGGGCCAGCACCTTGGCAGAATCCGCTGGCACTTCCTGACGAAAGGCATGGGCCACCGAGACGCCCACGGCACATGCGCCCCGTGCCGCCCCCGAAACAGGGCAACGGCGCTCATCCAGACGATCCGTGCGGCAACGGCGCTCATCCCCGTAACCCCGCGCGGCAGAGGATCCGTGCGCCGGGCCGCGAAAATCATCGGCCGACGGGTGTGCCCGTGGACGGGGTAGTGAACTACGAGTGGCGGGACCTGGGGGGCTGTGAGGCCGTCTCACCACGGCTCGCCTACCAACGGTCCGAAGAGAATGAGGAGGGAGGAGAGGGGAGTGGGGAGGGGGGGGGGCGGGTAGATGGAGGAGAAAGGAGCTCGATTGACGGTCCAAAAGAATATGGGGAGGAGGGAGGGGTGCGCCAGCGGTCCCAAAGCAATGATGATGGTGAGGAGCAGTGGGGCGGAGGGATACGAAGGAAGATGATGATGATGATGATGATGATGATAATGATGATGATGATGATGATGATGATGATGATGATGATGATGATGATGATGATGGTGGTTTTGGTTATGATGATGACGATTATGACGATGACGGTGTTGGTGACAGTGGTGGTGATGATGATAATGATGATGAGGGTGATGGTGCTGCTGATGATGATAGTGACGATGATGGTGATGATGAGGGTGATGATGCTGATGATGAGAATGATGCCTCTGCAGCATTTGATGCTAATGATGATGGCGACGATTCTGGTGGTGATGGTGACGATGCTGAATGTGACGCGACTTGTTATAATGATGATAAGGATGCTGCTGATGATGATGATGATGATGATGATGATGATGATGATGATGATGGTGATGGTGATGGTGATGCTGATGATGTTGTTGGTGGTGATACTGGTGCTGATTTGGATGATTATGATGACGATGCTGATGGCGACTCTGACGATGATGAAGATGATGGTCGTGGCGATGATGACGATGACTACGACGATGGCGACATTGGCGATGGATGTGATGATGACGGCGACGATGATGATGATGATGATGATGAAGATGAAGATGAAGATGATGATGCTGATGCTGATAATGATATCGATTCCGGTGGTGGTGGCAATGATGCTGATGATGTTGAGATTACTGATGTTGATCATGAGGATGCCTACGAATATGCTGATGACGCCGCCGTTGGTGTTGATAGTGCTGGTGTTGGTGGTGGCGCTGCTGCTGCTGATGATGATGATGCTGATGATAATGGCGATGTCGATCGTGAGGATGATGGTAATGATGATGCTGATGTCGATGCTGATGGTGCTGATGATGATAATGATGATGATGATGATGATGATGACGATGATGATGATGATGATGATGATGATGATGATGATGATGATGGTACCGCTGATGATGATGCTGATGATGATGATGTTGACGATGATGCTGATGCTGATGACGATGCTGATGATGCTGATGATGATGACGATGATTCTGAGGATTATGATGCTGAATATTCTGATCAGGATGCCGATGATGACGCTGTTGATGCTGATGCTGATCATGATGACGACTACGATGAGGGTGATGATAACGATCACGAGTATGCTGATGATGACGATGCTGATGCTGATGATGTTGATGATGGTGGTGATGATGACGACGATGACGATGACGATGACGAATCTGATGATGGGGCTGGCGATGATGAGGATGATGATGCTGATGATGTTGCAGATGCTTGTGATGATCATGATGATGATTCTGCTGATCATGGTACGATGAGGAGGAGGAATAGGAGGCAGAGGAGGAACTGGAGGATAGGTGGATGGTGATGAGGAGGATGTTGATGGCGGATGAAGGGGGGGATAATGGCGAGAAGAATAATGGCGAGGACAAGGGGATCATTACGAGGAGGAGGATGGCGAGAAAGAGGAGGACGAGGAGGATGAGGAGGAAGAGGACGATGACGACGACGAAGCTGCTGATGATGATGCTGACGATGATGTTGCTGATGTTTGTGATGATGCTAGTGGTGACACAGATGATGATACTGCTGACGACGACGACGATGATGATGATGATGATGATGCTGACGATGATGATGATGATGATGATGATGATGATGATGATGATGATGATGATGATGATGATGATGAGGATGATGATGATGACGATGATGATGATGATGATGCTGCTGTCGCTGCTGCTGATGATGGTGGTTATGCTGGTAATGATACTGATGGGAATGACGATGGCGATGCTGGCGATGCTGCTGCTGATGATGATCATGATGACGATGCTGATTATGCTGATGATGAGGGTGAGACTGAGGATGATGCCGATGATGTTAATGCGGTGGGTGATGCTGACGATGATGATGCTGATGCGATGGAGATAGGCGGCGATGATATTGATGCTGATGATCGTGATGATGACGATGGCGATGACGATGACGATGACGATGGCCACGATGGCGATGCGGCTGCTGCTTCTGATGATGATGCTACTGGCGACGATGATGGTGATGCTGCTGCTGATGATGCTGCTGATGATGATACTGATTTCGATTACGACGATGATGACGCTGATGATGATGATGATGATGGTGATGCTGATGATGCTCATGATGCTGATCATGCTGCTGCTGGTGATGATGATGGTGGTGATGATGATGGGGATGATGATGCATATTAAGATGATGACGATGATGATGCCGCTGATTCCGATGATGATGCTTATACGGTTGCTGATGCTGGAGATGCGGATGCTGCTGATGATGATCATGATGATGGTGGTAACGCGGACGACGATGATGATGCGGTTGATGATATTGATGATGGTGATGATCATGCGGATGATGCGGATGAGTCTGATGATGATAATGCTATGGTGATAGCGACGATGATGATGACGATGACGATTACGATGGCGATGAACGTGATGGTGATGCTGGTGATGACGATGGCAATGTTGACGATGCTCCTGCTGCTGCTGATAATGATGCTGCAGATGATTCTAATCACGATTACGGCGATGCTCGCGATGATGATGACGATGATGTTGATGATGCAAACGATGGTGATGATGACGATAATGGTGATGATGATGCTACTGAAGATGATGATAATGATGATGATGATAATGCTGATGACGACGACGATGATCACGATGCTGATGATGATGCTGATGAAGAGGCTGCCGAACATGATGACGATGGCGATGACGATGACGCTGCACATAACGATGATGCTTGTTACGGAGATGACGAAGCTGACGATGCTGCTGCAGATGATTCTGCTGCTGCTTCTGATTAGGATGATGATGCTGATGCTGCTAATGCTGATGCCGATGATGCTGATGATGGTGATGATGATGATGATTCTGATGACGATGGTGATGATCATGATGATCCTGCTGCTGATGATGATGCTGCTATCGATGATGATGATGGCGCTGCTGATTATGATGATACTGATGCTGGTGCTGATGATGCTGATGCTGATGCTGCTGCTGCTGATAATGATGATGATGGTGGTGATGGTGGTGATGCTGATGATGATGAGGATGAGGATGATGATGATGATGATGCTGATGCTGATGATGATGATGATGGAATTGGTGGTGATGATGATGATGATGATACTGATGATGATGATGATGATGATGATGATGCGATGATGATGATGATAAGGAGGAGGAGGAGGAGGAGGAGGAGGAGGAGGAGGAGGAGGAGAGGGTAGGAGGAGGAGGAGAAGGAGGAGGAAGAGGCGGGTGAGGGGGAGGTGGCGGAGGAGGAGCAGGAGGAGCAGGAGGAGAAGGCGGAGGAGCTGGAGGAGAAGGGGGAGAAAAAGAAGGACGATGAGCCAGGCGCAGGTCGCGGGGGCGGCCCAGGGCCGCGCGGCGGCGCTGCCTGGGGCAGGCGAGGCCTCGTCCGCCGCCGCCGCCATCCTTGTCACCATCGCCGCCGTCGCCGTCGTCCTGCTGCCGCCGCTGCTGCTGCCGCTGCGCCAGGTGTTCGTTGATCCGCTGCATCGGCTACTGTTTGCTAGAGCGGGTCCGAGCTATGGTCCAGAGCGTTCGCTGTACAGATACGCGGGTGATCTGGCGGTTGTCGGCGAGGATCTTTCTCGGCTGCTCCCTCTCATCATCACGACTTTGCTCGGGTGTGCGCCAGGCACGGATCTTGTAGCACACCCGGCCAACACCCAGATCGCGCTCCCTCGTTGCCGTTTGGCCTTTGCTGCGCCCAGCTCGAATTTCGGAAGCACAGTCTCAACATTCTGTCTTTCAAGGTATCTTCTCATGGCACGTGCCTTGGTATTGTAATACGCTTGCGGGCGCCGTCTTCGTCGTGGGAGTGCCCCACTGCTGCTGTGACTAAGTGGTGCAAGCACCTCGATGGCCTCGCCTTCTCCCAGAACGTTCTCATTTACAGCACCTTCTATTTGCCTGTGTTCGGCCATGTTTATCAAATGCACCCGCCTCCCAGACAAGGTTTGCGTGCTGATTTGCGTTGCCTCCAGAACCTCGCACGTAGCCCCTTACAATGCATTGTCTTGCTCGGTTTTGAAGAGCATGAGGACACCTGGTTTCCAGGTGGAACCTTGGAGCCTGGCCCTTCATTCGAAAGCTGTCCCTCACAGAGTTTGTTTACGACGTGCAGCTTGCCGTCGTGCTGGGGTCAGGGTGGCCTCGATCCTCGGGGATTCGGAGGGTAACTGTTGCCTGACATATGCGTTGCGTCGCAGCCTCTGTCTACGTCGTCCATTCTTCCGTGCCTTTCATCTGTGTGGCAGGACGCCCGCGCGCTCCCGAGGCCGCCTCAGGAACGAGCGCTGCTCTGCAGGCTGCCGCTTACAAGAGTCTCCAGTGTGCGTTTCTCGAGCCTTCTATTCGCAGTCTTCTTTTCCCTCGACTCCAACGCTGGTGTCAGGGATACGGCATGCAGGTGTCAGATTGGACGGTCCTTCGAATGGACTTGCTCAGCCGGCACGTCCCTCCCCAGATCATTGCGACCCATCTGCAGACGATCGTGAATTATTCGAACACCCCTGCTTGGTACCGTACGGGGACCATTGGATGTCGGCTCGGTTGTATGGCGGTGGGAGGTGGCCAGTTACTACAAAATTTGAATTGCCCCTACTTTCCACCAGGAGTAAGCAAGCTTTTCCCCTTATCCTGCATACTCTTGGGCCTCTTGGGACTCCGCTGGGTTTTTGGAAAGGTGCCCCCCTTCTGCCCCAGTCTTGAAGAGTTGAGTAGTATAACCACAGCCACAAATATCATACACACGGTATTTCACCGTGTACGCACACATTGGCGTTGCTCTCGTAAGCATTTCCGCTCTCTCGCCCTCGGCCGCGCCCGTGGGCTCGCCTCATCATCGGCGGCCCTCCGATGATTTCAGCAAGGCAGGACTGTCCGCCTGCCTGCCTGCCTGCCGCTGCCGAGGTTGTCGTCGTCGAAGACGGATGCCTACTGTTACTTTCCCTTCTTGGCCGTGGCCGCCTGCGTTCGGTCTTTTCTCTTTCGGATTGTTGCCTCCTCCTCCTCCTCCGCCTGGTCTTCCTGCTCGTCCTCCCCCCTTCGTCCTCCTCTTCCTTATCATCCTTCTCCTTCCCTTACTCCTCCTCCTCATTCTCCTCGGCCTCCTCCTTTCCGTCTCCATCTTATCCTACTCCATCTCCTTCCTTTTTTTGTTCCTCTCCCACTCCTCGTTTCCCTCCTCCTGCGCATCCTTCTTGTCCCCCTCCCCTCCCTCCTCCTCCTCCTCCTCCTCCTCCTCCTCCTCCTCGCAATCACCACCGCCGCTTGTTGTCCTGCTCATCCTCCACTCTTCCTCGTGCTTGCTGTTCATCATCGTCCAGCTTTCCGCCGCCTCTTCGTTCTTACTCCGCGCCCCTCGTCGTCCGTGAGAGCGACGTCCCGCTTTAGAAGGGGAGCTGGGGGAATCCCAAGGGGACGTCAAGGGTGGTGGCGAGGATGCGTTCCACGGCGAGTGGCTGCGGAGTCGGGGGAGAGGCGGGCGGGGGGGAGGGAGGGATGGAGGAAGGGAGGGATGGGGGGGTAGAGACAGGATAGCATTGCGGGGACGGGGTTGCGCGGGGGAACAGGAACAGAAATATAAGGAGGAACAGGAATACCACGGTAATGGTACTAGTGCGGAGGCAGGAGAATGCGCTTAGCCGCCGGGCGGCCTGCTGTTTTGTATAAGGGCCACGTGTGCGCCGAACCCCTCGCGGCGAGGTCGGGCGACGCGTCTTGTGTTCCTCGAAAGCGGAGCGCATGGCCTCCGCCGAGGCCGAGCTGCTCGTCACCTGCGCGAGCGCGGCCTCGTGCTCTTCGGACCTCGCCGCGCGCCGCGCTCGGGCTTGCCGTTGCCGTCGGCCCGATGCCCTCCGCGCCGGGCTTGCCGTGCCTCCCGCCGCGCCGCCCCGCGAGCGCCGAGCGGCCTCCCCGCCACTTGGCCGTCGACCCCGTCGTCGTCCAGGGAGGCGGCCTCCTCTCCTCGGCGCCGTGGCCCGCCTGGGCCGCCGCCCGAGCCCGCGCCACGCGCGGAGCCTGGAACGCCGCGGCACTCTGCGGCGTGCTTTTGCATTTTTCGTTGCTGCTTTTCGCGCTCGAGTGCTGCTCTCTCTGCTCCTCGCGACCCTTGATTTCTTCGATTCTGCAAACCCGCGCCAAAGCCCCCGCCCAGCGCGCGCGCAGCCGCCGCCCCCTGCGCCGCCGTCCTCGTGCTGCTTCGAGTCCTCGCCGCCGTCGAGCCCCGTCCCGACCGGCGGGGGCCCTTCGTCGCCGCGCCCGCCGCGCCCGCGCGGCCGCTGGCGCCGCCCTCCGAACGTCGCGGCGGCCATGCCAGATGAGGCTGGCGACGGCTGCTCGAGGCCGCCGGGGAAGGAGGCGCACCCCCATCGCGGGAAAGTGGGGGCCTGCTGCCATGCCGCGGGCCGCATGAGCCGCCAGCAGCGCTTCGCGCGCCGCCTCGGCAGCAGTCTGGGTGCCCAGAGGGGGGCCATCACAGCCCTTCCTTTCGACTGCGGCTTAGAGGGGAGTGATCCGAGGTCGTGGGCGGATGGCGTATCAGTATCCGCGGCCTCGCGGGCCGGGCCCCTGGGCCGCGAACCCGCGGATATTTTTTGTGTGTTATTTTCGCGGATGCCCCGCGTGGAACGTTTCCGTGCGACCGCGTATCCACGGGGTCGCGCCCAGGAATCCAGACCACGAGGGCGCGGATACGGATATGTTTGCCGCTCGTGATGGGGGTGGATGTTGTGGCCTCGACATTGATATTTCTCCCGATGCCATGGCTCCGCTTTCTTTCTTCAGTACGTTCCTTGGGCCCCCGTCGTCCACGCAAATGCCTCGGGCCATGACTTGCGACCACCCCCCCTCTTGGACGCCCCCTTCTTGTACGCCCCCAACCAGCCCCCACCCACGGCCGAGGGCTGCGAGCGGGCAGTTCAGAGCGGGCGCGCGGCCGGGTCGGGTGCGGGGCGTCGCGCGGCCCATCTTGCGGCGGCGCTTGAGCATACGCCGACCAGCAGGAGGATGATGACGGGAAGGGCTGGAGGAAGACCCCCCTGAGGTGTCCCATCGGGATCTCGTCCTTCCTCCTCCTCCTCCTCCTCCTCCTCCTCCTCCTCCTCCTCCTCTCCTTCCCTCCTCCTCCTCCTGCTCCTCCTCCTTCCCTCCTCCTCCTCCTCCTCCTCCTCTTTCTCCTCCTCCTCCTCCTCCTTCCAGCCTCCCCCGTTCTGCGCTGCTCTCTTCCTTCCTCCTCCTCCTGCTTCAAACCTCCCCCGTCCTGCGCCGCCCTCTTCCGTCCTGCTTCCTCCTACTCTGACATCCTCCGTCCTACTTCCGCTCCTGCTGCTCTTCCCTTTTCCTTTCCTCCTCCTCCTCCTCCTCCTCCCTCCCTCCTCTTCCTCCTCCTCTTCCTCCTCCTCCTCCTCCTCCTCCTCCTCCTCCTCCTCCTCCTCCTCCTCCTCCTCCCCCCCCAACTCCTCCTCCCCCAACTCCTCCTCCACGTCCTCCTCCCACGTCCTGGACGGTCTCGATCGTTGGCCCCATCACATAGTCTTCGCCCGACTCCTTCACCTTATCGCTCGCTCTGGGACCTTCACTCCCTTTTGCCCCGTCGCTCGCCTCGGTCTTGGCGATGAGTCGACCTGCGACGTCTCTGTATCTCGTGCTGCCGCACATCGATTGACCTTCTACAATACGTTGAAGGCTGGGCACGAAGCTTGAAGCCCATCTGCGGCTTCTCCGCGCCACGAAGCTAGCCATCGGTGCAAGTGGTTGAGCAGTCATCTGTTACCCCCAGTTGCGCCCTCCGTCCTTGTTCTTGGCTGGTCCCTGCCACGTCTGGTTCCAGTCAAGGGCGAACACCGGGCAGTGCACTAGAAACCAGGCCCCCGCGTATTGGGCAAACTCGAGAACCATGCCCCAGTTTTTACGTCGTCTCCTCCGCATCCTCCTCATCTTCGTCATCCGCCTTCCTCCGTCCTACTCCGTCCTGCTGCGTTTCCTCCTCCTCCCTTCCTCCTCCGCCTCCTCCTCGTTTTTCTTCTTCTCCTCCTCCTCCTCCTCCTCCTCCTCCTCCTCCTCCTCCTCCTCCTCCTCCTCCTCCTCCTCCCGCCAAAGGCTTGACGACGCTACCCTGGACGCGCACGTGCAGGGCGCGGTGAAGGGCTGGCTCTCCAACGTGGGAGTCGACTGTGTTCTCGACGAGTTCGACGAGAGGACGCAAAAGGGGGACGCTCCTCTTACTCGTCGCCCTCCTCGTCGTCGACGAATTCGGCTTCCCCTTCTTCATCCTTCTCCTCCTCCATCTCCTCCTCATGCTCGTGCCAATCCTGCTCGTCCTCCTGCTGCTCCTCCTGTTGCTCCTGCTGCTGCTCCTCCTCCTCCTCCTCCTCAGCCTCTTCCTTCCCCTCCTCCCTTCTTCCTCTTCCCCTCCCCCTCCTCTCCCCCTACTTGCTCCTCGTCCTTCGTCCTGATCTCGGCCTGTTTCAGAGTTGACGAGCAGCTGTCGGCCGAGAATCTTGCCATGTTGCTTAAGTGGTATAATTACTAGAGGGTTCTTGAGTCGATCCCAATGCCCTGTATAGTCGGCGGCGGCTTCAACATTGAGATCTCGTAGCTGGGCTCGCTCACTTGGCTGCACTCCGTGAACGGTGTCGCCGTCGTTCCGTCATCGCCTACTTGCCTGTAGGCGCTGCCAGGACGGACGATCGACTTCCTTTTGGCATCATGTCGGCTCGCAGCGCGCCTAAGTGCACCAGCCGTGGGCGAGGCCAACACCTGGCCCCACTTGCCCGTCACGGTGCAGCTCCAGGCCAAGGCGAACGGCGTATGTATCAGGAGATTGGTGGAGCCCAAAGGTTTTACCCGAGCGCCGCGTGCTGGCTTTGCGAGGCAACCACCAGATTGGGAGCCCTCTCTCAAGCAGATGGAGACGACGTAGGACGAGGCGGACATAACAGGAGTCGAATTTGAGTTGCAGGGGCGATATGATAGCGTCGGTGCGGCCGTGACGAGGTACACGTCGAAGTCGGAGGCTCCCGTGCTCGACCGGGCGAGGTGTATCCCAGGCGAGCGCGAGTCGTGGAAGAGGAAGGCGCGATACATACAAACATACAAACATGCATGCATGCATGCATGCATACGTACATACACACATGCGTACATACACGTACACACATGCATGCATGCATGCATGCATGCACGCATGCATGCAGGCAGGCAGGCAGGCATGCATACATACATACATACATACATATATGCATACATGCATGCATACATACATACATACATACCTACCTACCTGCCTATCTACCTACATACATACATACATACACCCATACACACATACACACATACACACATACGTACATACATACATACGTACACACGTACACACGTACACATACATACATACATACATACACACATACATACATACGTACACACATACATACATACATACATACATACATACATACATACATACAGACATACATACACACATACATACACACATACATACATACATGCATGCATACATACATACATACATATGTACATCCATATTTACATACATACATACATACACACATACAAACAAACATACATACATACATACACACATACACATACATACATACATACATACATCACACATACATATATACTTACATACATACACACATACATACATACATACATACATACATACATACATACATACATACATACACACAAACTGACCGGTCGACCTACCTACCTACATGCATACAACATACATGATACATTCAGATGCGTATACATCGTGTGTATATGCATACATATATACATACATGTATATGCACATCTGCATTTATGTATACATGCCTACATATATACATATAGGGCTGCCAAAAGGGCGGGACATATGGAACACAATGGGGGCTTATTTCCAGGCGTGGCGTTGACTGCGAGTCCCTCCGCATTCGGTCCCGAGCGCGGTGGTCGACAACACCGTCCTGGCGCAGCAGCAGCAGGAGCCGCGTCGGCCACCACCTCCAGCGAGGACCGCGGCCAGATCGCTTTCGACCACTCCTGCGAGACTTTGGCAGTTCCGGTCTGCCCCAGTCTGGCTTGTGACGAGGCTCGGCCGCAGGCTAGACTGCGAGTGCGTCAACGGCGGTGGACCTTCCGAAGGTGGCGCGCCACATCCTCGAGTTCGAGAATTCCTTGGCGAGGGCTGCTGCGAGATCCGAGGTGTGGCACACTTGGACAAGGGCACGGTCGAGTTCCTGGCGATCGGGATGATGTCGTTCACGATGCCCGACTTCGAGCAGCGGATTGACCGCATCCTGCAGTTGGCCGACGTGCAGGTGAGGAAGCACGAGCAGTCGGTGTCCAAGGGCTGGCGCACCTTGGCGGAGGCTGCCTTTCCAGGAGGTGCCAGCGAGGCGCACCGCTTCTGGCAGCTGGGCTCGCTGACTTGATTGCACTTCGTGAACGGGGTCGCCGTCGTACCGTCGTCGCCCACTTGCCTGCAGGCGCTGCCAGGACGGACGATCGACTTCCTTTTGGCATCATGTCGGCTGGCAGTGCGCCTGAGTGCACCAGCAGTGGGCGAGGCCAACACCGCCACTTGATGGAAGCGAGGACCATGGCGATTTGCGTCAGACTGGCGCTCTGTAGTTCGATGCTCGTGATGCGGGACTGTGTGTGTGAGCGAGGGCAGCGTCGGTCCCGCGGAGTTCCAGGGCGACTTGTTTCGCCTCTTGGGTGTCTGCCTTTACTCGTATGCCCACCCTTTTGTCCGCGCGGGCAGCACCAGACGCCTTGTGCACGGTCTGGTGACCGTCTGGCTTCCACACGATGGTGTAGTCGCTCGGCAGGGGCCCTGTGGAACTGTGACTGCTGGTGTCAAACTGGGTGCCTGCTTGCCCAGAGGCGGAGAGAATCAGAGGGGCATCTGCTGGCCTCATTCAGCAGGTAGTCTTCAGCCTGCGTTTGCCGACCGTTGCGCCATGGCGCCTGAAGAGCTCAATGGTTTCTTGTACCACCGCGGTGCGACAGTGAGGCGTGAACGCGGCTGTGATCGCGTCAGTGAGGTCGTCGTCAAGCTGTTTGCGTGAGGCGTCCTTATCGGTTTATTTGTGGCGTTCTTTAGCCTTGTGCTGAGCCGCGCCTGTTCCACCTGGGTAGCGGTTGCCGTTGGCATGTGCAGTCCCTGAGAATTGTGCCCTGAGCAGTTCTTTGAGCGTTGGCGTGGGCGCGATGACGTCAGCCTTGCAGATGGCGGCACGGATCCAGACGACGTCGTCATTGGCCGACAGTAATTTGGATGACCTCTCCCGTCCGAGTTGATAGATGGTCCCTTGGATGGGTCCTTGCGCAGGCTTGGTAGCCGTGGCTGCGTGACGGAGCACTGGGATTAGGCTCTCTTTGCCTAGGTTGTCCGTGTTGATTGGCCCGAGTTGAGCGCCAGATGTTTGTCCTGAACGCGTACGCGATTGCCTTCCTCTAATTAGCGCGTGAAGTGAGATGCTGCTGTTGTACGACGTCCCGTCACCTTCCCGTCCGGGCGCGATGGCAGCGGGGTCGTCCCAGTTGTGCGCATCCAGGCTGATGAGAGGGGCCCTGTCTTTGCCCTGGTGGGCTTCGGCGTCGACCGCGGTTCCTACTGGGTCACGGTCTAGGGCTTTGTTGTGCGTGATGGAGTATTGCAGCATGTTGTTGCTGATATTGTCCCCCCGCGCATTCTCATTAGCTCGCCCCTGAGCTGGCGTGGGTCGGAGCGGTTTTGCTGGTAAGTGGTATCGAGGTCGGTTTGGTGCGTGCGATCGAGTTCGTTGTATTCAGCGACTGTTCGGTCGACGCCACCACTGCTCTGGAGGGCGGCTGCGCAGGCTTCCTTCCGACTGATGTTGATATCCTGTCGACTTGTCAAGGTCGCCTGTTGGCGGCCCTAGCCTGGTGGATTGGGCTGCCAGGGTGCAGGGGGCGCGCGGCGAGTACCTTTCTCGGCCATGGCACGCGCGCGGATACTGAAGGGGGAATGACACGTCAATCACACGCTGGGACGGCGTGTGTCCAGTCTCATGATGCGAGCAGCGCTCGGCGCTTCGTGTCGTGGCTGCGCGCTGGGACAGAGACCCTCGATCCGAGACTGGGGAAGGAGGGCGGGAGGGAGGGAGGGAGGGACAGGGAGGCGCGGGAGGATACGGAGATGGATCGTCTTTGATCAGGGGGACAGCGGGGCGAAAGGAGTCAACATCGCGCTCCCAGGATCGGCAGGACGAACGAGGGTCAGGCGAGGCAGCGCGGTGCGGCCGCGGAGCTGAGGCTGCGGCCGTGGGTGACGGAAGCCTCCCGGGTGAGGCTCATGCCGGGCACGACCTGCCGGGTCGGCAGCAACGACAGTTCTGCGATCTTCGCCAGGGTCGAGGGCGAGGAGGACCAGCGGCTGGAAGTGCCCATCCCGCGGTCCGCGGCCGCGCTGGTGCGCAGCCTGTCTGGCAGCCTGAGGTGGTTGCGTGCTCGAACATGGCCTTCGTGTTAAACGCGGCTGGCCAATTTTCACGCAGAAGACCGCCAAAGACCGTCAAAGGCCACATGTCTGATGCGTCGCATGGTGGAGTCCCCTTTCCCTCAGTGGGGAAGCTGGCAATTTCCATCATCGTGGCAATGGGATCATGAAGAACAGAGACCGCCAAATGCCGCCAAGGACCGCAGGAGACCGCTAAGGACCGCCGACGTCCATGGCTGAGCACGGACAGGTGGGTTTCCGAATTGCCGTGCCAGGATCCCATCCAGAGGATCTTTGTGCTGCAGATGCTGCAGCAGCAGGGCGTTCGGGGGCGGCGAAACAGGGCAGCTTGGGGGGGGGGGATAGGCTCAGGGATGAACGACAGGCTCCAGGTTCGAAGTTTTCGGGCGTTCTCGTGGGATCTCGGAGGTTTTCCAGCCTCAGGATGCTCAGCTAGCAGCTGCGCCTCGCCGAGGGCGCCCGTGGGATGCCCGAGTCGTCCCGACCGGCTGCCAGAGGCCCGAGGCATGGCCCAGCAGATGCCCGGGGGCCGGGACAGGCTTCGCGGGGGGAGGGCATCGACCCCCGGCTGCCCCTTCGTCGCCGATCGGGGCTCGGGCGGCCCACCCTGCCCGGGCACGCCCGGCTTCGCTCTCGGGGGCCTGTCGCCGATCCGTCGGCGATGCATCGCCGACTCCCAGGCCGATGTTTTGTCCTCCGAGTCGTCCGCCTTTCTTCGGAGGCCAAGAGGTCGGCACCAACACCAGTACCGTCGGTGACCCTCCACCGAGGGATGTCGATCCTGATCTCCTCGGTGCTTGTGGTCATGTTCGGGCCGCTGAGGAGCCGAGGTATTTCCACCAGCGCCACACTCCAGGATCGTCCTCCCCTGGTGGAGGACGCCCTCTGTGTCGGTGTTGTTGACAATTTCCAGGCTCCCAATCCTTCACCTCACCCCCAGAGGCGTGCTGCAGCTCTTCCTGCGTGGCCCCGAGGAGAGGGCGTTTTCGCTCGGCGAGTCCTGACGCGACCGCGCGTCACCACCGCGATCTGCAGTGCCCCCGCGGCCGCCGCGAGCGCGAGGGCCTCCCCGTGGGCGCCAGAGACTTGGCGACGACCGTGCGGCGGCCGTCGCCGTTCTTGCCGCCGTCGGAGTCTTTGGTCGGCCGTCGTCGATCGTCGTCGTCGTAAGTGGTCGGTCCGCGTCGGTCGACGGCCACGGGCCGCCGCCGCCGCCCTCGCCGCCGCCGCCGCCGCAGCCGCCGTCGTCGTCGTCGTCGTCGTCGCCGTCGTCGTCGTCGTCGTCGTCGTCGTCGTTGTCGTCGTTGTCGTCGTCGTCGTCGATGTCGTCGTCTGTCCGTCCGTCTGGCCGTCGTCGTCGTCGTCGTCGTCGTCGTCGGTCGTTGTCATCGTCGTCGTCGTTGTCGTCGTCGTCGTCGGTCGTCGGTCTTCGGTCGTTGTCGTCGGTCGTCGTTCGTCGTTCGTTGGTCGTCGGTCGTCGGTCGTCGGCCGTCGGTCGTTGGTCGTCGTTGTCGTTGGTCGTTGGTCGTCGTCGTTGGTCGTCGGTTGTTGGTCGTCGGTCGTCGGTCGTCGGTCGTCGTCGTCGGTCGTCGGCCGTCGCCGTCGTCGTTGTCGTCGGTCGTCGTTGTCGTCGGTCGTCTGTCGTCGGTCGTCGGTCGTCTGTCGTCGGTCGTCGGTCGTCGGTCGTCGGTCGTCGTCGTCGTCGTCGTCGTCGTCGTCGGTCGTTGGGCGTCGGCGTCGGCGTCGTCCTCTTCGTCGTATGCTGTCATTGTCGTCTTTTGCCGTTGTCGTCGTCGGCGTTGCTGTATTTGGCGGCGATCAAGGTCACAGCCGTCGTCGCCGTACCTCGTTTCCCCATCCGCCGTACGATCTCCTTCCCTTCGCGCTCCTCGTTACATGTGATTCTGCCCCATCGTCTATCCGAAATATGAATTCATACCATCCCTGGCAGGCTGGAGTTCTCCCCCCTTCATCCTTTGCGGAAAATATTATGCGCGCGCACTTGTATTATCAGTTTTCACTCATCCCTTGCAACTTAAAAAAAAAACGTGACGAAGTGCATAGGTACGCGTCGTCGGGCGCGCATGCCAAAATCCTTCAAACACCTGAGAGCCCGCAGGGATTTCAAAATCGAGTGTCCAAGAAACATATAAAGCCACATGGTTTCGCAACACGGGTTTTCAAAAAAGCCTGCGCCCGCGCTCGTGCTCTTTTTTATCACCAGCGTTTTCGTAGCAGGCGAATCATGCTATCAAATGGCCCTCGCGCACGCGTGTCGACATCGCTTGGACGCCCTCGCGCGCGTGCTGCCGCAAGAATCCCTTGCAACAGATGGGGCGAAGTGCACGCGCGCGCGTCGTCGCGCGCGCATGCCGAACCGTAAGGATTTCCAAGCACGAGTGTCCCGAAAGCATATACAAAAACACATGCTTTTGCAACATCAGTATTCAAAAAATGCTTGCGCGCGCGCGCTCTGGCGAAATCTTAACAAAGCATCGGTTTTTCAACACCGCCACCAAATTCTGCCAAACTGGCCTCGCGCCGCATTTCGATTTCATCCGAGCGCCCTTGTGCGCGTGCTGTGGGGCACGATACGTCTCCAATAATACCGCGCGGGCCACTCGCGCGCGTCGGCCGCGCGCGCATGTTGATCTCTCCCCAAAACCTCCATTTCCGACGCGAGGGCATCGTCATCATTTTCGGCGGGCGCGATGAACATCGGCGCCGTCATTGGCCTTGCCGTCGTCATCGCCGCCACCGTCACCATCATCGCTACTCGCATCATCGTGCCTACCGTTGTCGGCGTCGCCGTGATACCGCGCCCACCCGCGTCGCCGACGCGCGCTGAAGTGCCCGCGGGAAGTGCACAGCGGTCAGCGCCGCCGCGGCCGCGTCGGCCGCGCCGCTGTAGCTGGCCGCTGCGCGCGCGAGCACGCGCGGGCTAGCGCGGCCTCGGAGATGCACAGCCAAAGCCAAGCACGCATCGCAATCGCCGTCGCGTGCGTTATGCGAACCAAGTTGCGGGTGGGTGGGTGGGATGTTTGCTTGAGCAGTGGAGTCGACAAAGCGTATATACTTCTTTCTGAAAGAGAATTGGGATCTCCACATCAGTTTCCCAAGATTGCTTGCTTGCGCGCGCTCTGGCGAAATCTTAACAATGCATCGGTTTTTCAACACTGCCACCAAATTCTGCCAAACGGGCCTCTCGCGCCGCATGTCGAATTCATCCGAACGCCGTCGTGCGCGTGCTGGGGGGTACGACCCAGGGCAATTAGCACCGAATTTCTCGACAAGCCTTCATAGCCGACGCAAGGACATCGTCATCTTTCTCGGCGGGCGTGATGAACATCGGCGCCGAGAATCCTTTGCAAGAAATGGGGCGAAGTGCAGACGCGCACGTCGTCGCGGGCGTATGCCGAAAACCTTCAAAACCCATAGGTTTCGGAAGGATTTCAAAATCGAGTTTCCCAAACACATACAAACACACATGGTTTTGCAACACTGATTTGCTAAAAAAACTTCGGCGCGAACTCTTGCGACATCTTAAGAAAACCATGGGTTTCTCAAGATTTTCACAAACTGCTACCAAACGGGCTTCGCGCGCGCATGTCGAAATCTGTCGAACGCCCTTGCACGTGTGCCGTCGCGAGAATCCTCTGCAAAAAACGGGACGAAGTGCAGACGCGCGCGTCGTCGCGGGCGTATGCCGAAAACCTTCAAAACCCATAGGTTTCGGAAAGAATTCGAAATCGAGCGTCCAAACAACCTACAAAAACACAAGGTTTCGCAACACGGATTTTCAACAAAAGCGTGCGCGCGCGCTCTGCGTCGTCGTCGTCGTCGTCGTCGTCGTCGTCGCCGTCCTCCCTCCTCCGTCGTCGTCGTCGTCGTCGTCGCCTACGTCGTCCTCTGTCTTTCTCGTGTTCGTCGTCGTCGTCCTCTTTGGCGTCGTGGTCGTTTCCGTCGTCGTTGTCGCCGTGGTCGTCCTTCCTCCTCCTCCCACGTCGTCGTCGTCGTCCGTCGTCGGCGTCTCGTCGTCGTCCCTCCCATTTCGTCGCCGTCGTCGTCGTCGTTGTCGTCGTCGTCTTCCCTCCTCCCTCGTCGTTGTCGTCGTCGGCGTCGCCGTCCTTCCTCCTTCGTCGTCGTTCGCGTCGTCGCCGTCCTCCCTCCTCCCTCGTCGTTGTCGTCGTTGTCGTCGTTGTCGCCGTCGTCGTCCTTCCTCCTCCCTCGTCGTCGCCTTCGTTGGCGTCGTCGTCGTCGTCTTCGTCGTCGTCGGCGTCGGCGTCGTTGTCGTCGTCGAAGTCGTCGGAGACGTCGTCGGTGTCGTCCTAGTCGTTGTCGTCGGTGTCGTCGTAGTCGGTCTGAACAGGTTTTGCAAACCAAGTTGCGGGTGGGTGGGTGGGATGTTTGCGCGAGCAGTGGAGATGACGACTTCAAGTTCAGCAGAGTGGATAGCACCACATAGATTCTCTTTTCTAAAAAGAGAAGAGACTCGACCCCCCTCCCCCGGACTTATCGGTTCCCCCTGGGATAGTATGATTTCGCATATATATATATATGTATATATGTGTATTCTGCACACTCGTCCATCCTGAATATGAAACCATACCATCCCAGCTAGGCCGGTTCCCCCCTGAGGTTCCTTTGTGAAAAAACTATGCGGTGATATTTTGGATTTAACATAGCACTGTTTCACGAATCTTTTGCAAAAAATGAGACGAAGTGCGCAGGCGCGCGTCGTCGCGCGCGCATGCCGAAATCCTTCAAAAACCCTCGGTGCGGCCAGGATTTCGCAATCGAGTTTCCAAAACACACACACACACAAAACACACACGGTTTCGCAGCACAGAGTTGGTAAAAAAACTTCCGCGCGAGCTCGTGCGAAATCTTAAGAAAACCATAGGTTTTTCAATATTTTCACAAACTGCTACCAAACGGGCTTCGCGCGCGCTCATGTCGAAATCTGTCGAACGCCCTTGCGCGGTTGCCGTCGCGAGAATCCCCTGCAAAAAACGGGACGGAGTGCAGACGCGCGCGTCGTCGCGCGCGTATGCCGAAAACCTTCAAAACCCATCGGTTTCGGAAGGATTTCAAAATCGTGTGTCCAAAAAACCTACCAAAAACACAAGGTTTCGCAACACGGATTTTCAACACAAGCCTGCGCGCGCTCTTGCGTCGTCGTCGTCGTCATCGTCGCCGTCCTCCCCCCTCCCGCGTCGTTGTCGTCGTCGTCGTCGCCTACGTCGTCCTCTGTCTTTCTTCGTGTTCGTCGTCGTCGTCCTCCTTGGCGTCGTGGTCGTCTCCGTCGTCGTTGTCGCCGTGGTCGTCCTTCCTCCTCCTCCCTCGTCGTCGTCGTCGTCCGTCGTCGACGTCTCGTCGTCGTCCCTCCTATTTCGTCGCCTTCGTCGTCGTCGTTGTCGTCGTCGTCGCCTTCCCTCCTCCCTCGTCGTTGCCGTCGTCGGCGTCGCCGTCCTTCCTCCTTCTTCGTTGTTCGCGTCGTCGCCGTCCTCCCTCCTCCCTCGTCGTTGTCGTCGTTGTCGCCGTCGTCGTCCTCCCTCCTTCCTGGTTGTCTTCGTTGGCGACGTTGTCGTCGTCTTCGTCGCCGTCGTCGGCATCGGCGTCGTTGTCGTCTTCGTCGTCGTCGTCGACGTCGGCGTCGTCGTCGTCGCCGCCGTCGTCGTCGTCGTCGTCGTCGTCGTCGTCGGCGTCGTTGACGTCGTCGTCGTCGTCGGTGTCGTTGTTATCGTCGTCGTCGTCGGCGTCGTCATCGTCGTCGTCGTTGTCATTGTCGTCGTCGTCGGCGTCGGTGTCGTCGTCGTCGTCGGTGTCGTCGTCGTCGTCGTCGTCGTTGTCGGCGTCGTCGAAGTCGTTGGAGACGTCGTCGGTGTCGTCGTAGTCGTTGTCGGCGGCGTCGTCATCGTCGTTGTCGCTGTCGTCGTCGGCGTCGCTGTTGTTGCCAAGTGCCATGTGGTACCCACCGTCACGGTCTTCAGAGATTTTGCAA